CTCTCTCCTGCTGTCCCCATACTGGAGTCACTCTGGATTGGGAACAGTATGAACACTCTGGGTCCGACTCCGGTTCAGTAACGGTCCCGCTGTGGGTTTTCCAGGTGTCCAACTGGTTCGGAAACAAGCGGATCCGCTACAAGAAGAATATCGGGAAGTTCCAGGAGGAGGCAAACCTCTACGCCATGAAGACAGCCATTGGAGCCACAGGGGGAGAGTCGCCTCACACACCCACCTCCACAGGTACCTCGACCCCAACCTCCCCCTCTCTCGGTGCAGTGTTCACGTACTGGAGTGTCCAGTCAGTGTGTGTGTATGAACCCCTCTCTCTCTCTCAGTGCAGTGTTAATGTACTGAAGTGTCCAGTCAGTGTGTGTGTATGAACCCCTCTCTCTCTCTCTCTCAGGTTCGGGGTCGTTCTCACTCTCTGGGTCAGCTGATCTCTTCATGGGGGTCCCTCCTACGCTGAACGGAGACCAGCAGCCGTATCACCCTGGGACTCAGGTACGAGGGCCCGGACTGACCCGAGTTCAACGAGCCAACGAGGGGCTCAAGCTCCGCCTTCCCGGGCGCGTGGAGACCCCACCTGGTGCGTCTGGACCGGGACCGAGCTGGCACAGACACACGCAAGGGAGCGGGTCTGGGATGTGGGGTTCGGGTTCAAACTGGGGCTCTGATCCGGGGAATCTCTCTCTCTCTCTCTCTCTGTGTCCCAGGAGTCTCAGGGACGCTTCTCGGAGAGACTCGGCTCCTCCCAGCTCTACAGCCCCAGAGAAGGCAGGGTGAGGCACGCTCGTGTGTTCGCTCGTTAGTTAATTGATTGATTAATTAACCACGGTTTGGGTCGTTATCCGCCCCTGACCGCCGCCCTCTCCCTCCCTCTCCCTCTCAGACAAACGGCAGCTGGCCAGAGGGAGGCACGCCCCCCTCGGTGACATCACCGGGCAGCGACCACTCGGAGAACTCCAACTGATGGCCCCGCCCTCTCCTGCGCTGTGATTGGCTGGAGAGGGGGGTGAGGGGGCGGTGACGTCGAGAGAGCTGACAGGTTGCAGCGGAGTGGAGGCGGAGCCAGAGAGGAGGCTGGGGCGGGGGGCAGGGAGGGGCTGAGTGAGACAGGGTCATGCGAGGTGTGTTTTCTGTTTCTCTTCTGGTGTTATTTTTCGGGGGTTGGAGTTTTTCGGGGTGCCTGTTGCCAGGCTCGGGCTGGGCCTGCGCGTGAGTGTGGGCGTGCGTCTCCAGTGTCCGTCTCGGTCTGTGTGA